CCTCGCCACTAGCCAAGTCTGGCTGCGAAGTGCCAGCGAATGTGGGCCACCATGCGACTGCCAGTGGCTTAAGGCATCCTTGAAGTCCTGGCACAGCGCGCGCGGAAGCTGCTGAGCCTGCATGCCGAGCGCGACCAGCAGCGCGTCGAAGTCTCCGTACGGAATGCCAACCGACGCACCTACCGCCGCCAGGCTCGTCAGCAAGCTCGCCTCCTCAATTGTCGGGTCCATTACGCCGACCGCGCCGTTGGCCAACCCACGATCGCACGTGCAACGCGAGCACGACCACGAACAGCAGCTCCTCCGGGCCAACTCCAGCCGAGAGGGGGCCTCGGCCGCCAGCTCCGCACACTGCCCAGCCCGCCCCGCCGCAACCGAGGGCATGCCAGACAAAGAGGCGAGCTGGAAGTGGCTTGCCCGATCTTGAATCGCAAGGGCGAGTTACGATCGGGCCAGAAGAGGCAGGCAACGAGTCAGCCTGTAGGCGGCCCCACCCACCGCCCAGGTGTCAGGGTCACGCTTGATCCTTGCCCGCCGCGTTGCTCCGTTTACCCCCCTCCTCCTCCTCCTCCTCCTCCTCCTCCTCCTCCTCCTCCTCCTCCTCCTCCTCCTCCTCCTCCTCGTGCGCAGAGCTACGAGTGCCACCAGCTGGGCTACCAGGGCCTCCTGCCGAGCCACGGAAATCACCGGCGGAGCTACGAGGACCACCCGCTGAGCTCCCAGGGCCACACCTGTAGAGTTGCGAGAGCCACCTGCTGAGCCACCAGCACCACCAGCTCAGTCGCCAGAGCCACTAACAGGACTACGAGGGCCAGCTGAGTTTCGAGGTCCGCAAGCTGGGCTACGTGGACCACCAGCTGAACTACGAGGGCCACAGGCAAGGCTGAAAGGGCCACAAGCTGAGTTACGCGGAACACGAGCTGAGCAGCAAGGGCCTCCAGCAGAGCGGCCAGTGCCACCAGCTGCACTACGAGGTCCACGAACTGAGCCTCTCGAGCCCCGGCCACAGCTGTGAGGTCCACCCGTCGAATTACAGGGGCAACAAGCCGAACGACGAGGGCTGCGTGCAGGACTCCGCGAAGAGGACGAAGAGAGCGACGAGCAAGACGAGCATGTCATCATCATGTACGCCGCGCTGGAGGGACTGGGCTTCGCCAGGGCCATGGCCGCCGAGGTGGAGGCTATCACACAGGCATTCGCCATCAATGGGAAGCACAGAGACATACTAGTACTATATGTCCTCCTTGGAGGCGAGCGTCCGACCCGAACATATAGTATACCCGTCTTGTAGTATATCGTTTCCCGAGCGGTGTGGCCAGAAAGCGCACGCCACGACGCATGTACTATAAGATTTCTCGGTGCGCGCGCCGCCCTGGGGGGGCGACGCCATATCCAAACTCACAAAGCCCGCGCACAACAAGCCCCACAACACGACGGCGCCCACAGACGTGAGCCTTGGCCGCCACTGCGAGGACGGGGGCGCGAAGGGCTGGACGCTGAGCCCCTCAATAGCCCTCAAAGCGCTCGTGCCCCCCCGCGACCACTGCGAGGCGCACCAGAACCAGAGACCTACGGGCTAGCGACCCAGGCGCATTCCCGCCTCAGAACTTCTACGACGACAGGAAGAAGACTAGTGCGACGACGAGGGCAACGAGAGCGACGTGGCGCATCAGGAAAGTAGCGAGACGGACAACACCTACCCAAACGAAATCAGGTGGAACGCTGACTACGATGACCAGGCAAGCGACGACTCCAGCAAGTCATCGCGAAACTGGGTTGCCCTTCAGTACGGACAAAGGTATACGTGTGCACTACCGGCAAGGTAGCCCGTGTACTACGCTACCGGCAAGGCACTACGTCAACGGTACTGGCCGCAACTGCGGTTGACTGGCCCCGCCGCTGCAACCACCTCCCCTCCGCCTCCTCCGAGGCGGATGCTACTCGTGAATGTGGGCGGCCTTCCCCCCTCCGGAAATGGCGGGCCCGCCCTGGCCCCGGCCGCGCACGCGCGCGTCGGGCGCAGGGCGCACCCTGTGGGCGACATGCTCAGCGGCAGCGGAGAGAACGGGAGGGAGGAGGGAGGGGCTTCCGGGACGCTAGGGAGGACAAAGGCTTGGGGCGAGAGGCCAAGCAACGCGCCCACGTCGGACATTGGCGGGACTGGGTTTCGTGGGACCTGGTGTAATGGTGCGTACTGGTGGACGCCCCCCCCCCGCCCCATCCCACGAACCGGAACTGCCGCCAGTCAAAGAAACACCAGCTGCGGCAGACCTGGTTTCATGATTCTGGCTCGTTCTCGGGGCTTCGGGGCCCATCACTAACCAGCTCCCCTGATCTGGGGCCATGGCTGCCTCCGACGCAGAGAGGACATGCGAGCGCGACGCACGCAAGCCGAAGGGCACCAGCCTGAGACCTCTTCCTCCACGTCGCCGTCGTGGTCGTCACCGTGGTCGTCGTGATGGTCGTTATCTGGGGGCGACGACAGGGGGGAACGGCCCACGGGAGAACAGTACATGTACCCAGGGGCGCCGATGGCACGCGTCCCTGGCGAGGCTCCTGGAGGGAAGGGAGGGGGAGGAGGAAGAGGAGGAGGAGGAGGAGGAGGAGGAGGAGGAGGAGGAGGAGGAGGAGGGGGAGGAGGTGTGCCGTGCCCGCCCCTGGGCTGCTCGCCCCTGTCGTCGCCTCCTGGGGCGTCGCCGCGGCGGTCGCCTCCTCGGCCCTCCGGCGCCGCCTCGGCGGCGGCCCCGGCGCTCGCCGCGGGCCCGGCACCGCGGGCGGGCGGCACGCCTCCGCGGGCAGACGGCGGCGGCAAGACGACGAGCAAACGAGGAGGAGGAGGAGGAGCAGCAGCAGGCAGAGGAGGAGGAGGAGGAGGAGGAGGAGGAGGAGGAGGAGGAGGAGGAGGAGGAGGAGGAGGAGGAGGAGGGGGGGAGGAGGAGATGGAGGAGGAGGAGGCGGAGGAGGAGGAGAAGGAGAAGGAGGAGGACGGGTCGCCTAAGCCCTTCGGAGGAACCCTCCACCGCCTGGGGCGAGAGGGGTAGCGGCCAGGGAAGGAGGGGCAGGCTCAAGGGGGGAACGCCTCGAGCCCCGACCGCCCCTTCGTCGCCGAGGGGGCCCGAAGGCCTCGGGGCGCACGGCACGGGGCACAGGGGGTGAGGGGAAACCACAGGGGGGAGGCTGACTCGGGGGGGGGAGTCATGGCTCGAAATCGCCGATGGATCGGCGAAAGGCCCCCGACAGCGAAACCGCTCCTGAGCGAGGTGGGAGAACGGGGCCCCATCGGCGACGAATGGGCGATTCGGGGCAGATGCATTCCCCCCCGAGCCTGTCCCCCCTATCATTGCCCCTGAAGGGGCACCGCGTCCAGGCCAGATGAGAAGGACGAGCCAGCCCGAGGCAGCGGGACTCGCACGCGGCGAAGCTCGCACGCGGCGAGACTCGCACGCGGCGGGACCCGCTCGCGGCGTAACTCGCACGCACGGAACTCGGCGGGGCACACCAGCCAACCGATGACGAAGACGAGCTGGCGCTGGACGATTCTAGGAAGGGCTCTCGAACTGTCTTCATCGCTTCGAGTGGTGGTCGAGGAGTCTTCGCAAGGTTCCAAATGGCTCTCGACGGGTTTTCAAATGGGCTTTGTCCCTTGAAGTGGTGTTCAAAGGGTCTCGAAGGGTTCTCCTCTGGTTCTCGACTGGGTCTGGAGCGGCCTTCAGGAGGCATCGCTCGGGTGGCTGTCAACCCCTCAAACCGTGCCCGAAAGGTGTCGGATGTTTACATGTACACTGGTGTAGAAAGGCTCCATGGGGGTCGAACTGTTTCTGGTGGGTTGAGATCGATGTTTGCCTGGCCGCAGCTAGTTCCCGCACGGCATTCGAAGTGCTCATCGGCACGTTAAACATAAACCGAATGTCCTAGCCGAAGTTTGCTGATTTGTATGACGCTCGCCCGTTCCCAAACCTAAAAATGTCCTAGCCTGTATCTGCGACCAGCGACCTGCTCCCACGCTACGCAAGGATACCAAGGGTCACTGGGCGACCACAACCCTCGGATCGCCGTCGGCACCAGGCCCCGTCGGTCATAGCGACGAGGCGTACGTTCGAGGCCTACAAACCACTGCCAGTGAGACAAGCGCCTAAAAAAAATCGCGATCAACGGAGGGAGACGGATCTCTAAAGTGGTTCTCGGAAGAAATCTCGGGAATCGCGACCATGTGACGCCCGCCAGATCGGACTGTGAATGCAATCTGCAGTATCGCTCAAGTGCAGCTAACTTACGGACCATAATCAACGTGCTGCAAACTCACGGCCACTTGCAGGCCATTGTGACCCTGGCAATCAAAACCGTGTCTGCAACGAACCCAAGCGCAACAGGTGTGCTTCGCGTTCCTTGCTCTCTTGGACATGTCATGTACGTATGACAATGTACTCGCACTGCGCGATCTGTCAAACTAAAGTGACAAAGGGACCTCCCCCGGTGTCCAAAAATGGAAAAACAGGCGCGAGGAGAAGTAGCTGCTAGACGAGGACAAGGTCGCATGTGGGCAGAAAAAAGCTGGCCTGAAAGACTGCCGGGTGTGCCGCCAAGAGGCAGCGCAACAGCTGGGCGTCCACGCTCCCAAGGAGGCCGAAGGACCTGCTGGAGGGACGCGGAGCACCTCCTCCTCCTCCTCCTCCTCCTCCCTCCCTCCTCCTCCTCCTCCTCGCCCTCCTCGCCCTCCTCGCCCTCTCCAGCGCATGTGGCTGTTTCTGGCTGCGGCAACCCCAATGCCGCACTGCACCACGTCCATCGTGGCGCTCGAGGGCCTCGAGTGTCTGCTCACCTGCGGTCGTCGGATAGCCGAGTGCACTCCGCAGCCCCCCTCAAATGCGGTCAGGCCGCCCCCTCCCGTGGCGCCCCCCTTCTGTGGCGGCCCGATCCCCTGAGATGTGGGTGAATGGCTGAGGGTTGTTCTGCCCCTGGCCGCCAGCCCCCAGACAGGGGCCGAGCCCCACCTTCCCCGGTCACCTGGCCTGCCGGCGATCTGCCTCCCCGACACTTGCCCCGGCCCGCGGCCGACCTGCTCGCTGCGCATGCCCTCCATCAGCTTCTCCAGCCACTGGTCCGTGCCTGGCCGCCAGGCGAGCGGAGCGCTCTTCTCTGCTTGAAGGCGCTGGGCGCTCGAAGACAATGCCTCGCACGAGAGGAGGCGGGGCTCTTCGCCCGGTCTGTAATGACGCGGTCTGTAACTGTTGCCTTGCCGCGGGGCGACGGGGCGCTTTGCTGTGCTCGCGGCAGGGGATGGTATCTGTTCCGTGCTCGCACTTACTTCCGATTAAACCCAGGTGCTATGTGGCTGCGCTGTGTCGGATGCTCTTCTTCGGACTCCAACATGGCACAATCAATTGCGACTACTTGTGAACACTATGACTCTGACGCATGTGTGCCCACCATCGAACACCACTACCGGGAGTGGGCTGCCAACAACGATGTCATGCGAAGCGTCTGTCCCAACTGTCTGCTCACACGCCAGCTGGCCAGGTCCACAGCAGAACAACCATGGACAACAGCGCACACCAATTCTTGGCTACCCAAGGCCTTGGGCACTGCCAGACTGCGACGACGGGTGGTAAACGCGCGCTATACCACGACGCATGAAGGTGGGGTTCGGGCACGGCGAAACACCGTCCTGGCTGCTGCAAGAAGGCACGCTGAACTAGCAACGAAACCTCTTTTTTGTTTGGCACCAGAAGGGCCTGGGTGCACGAGAAGAGCTAGAGGAACAGCCGTAGAGGGGCCAGAGGAACATCGGGCCGCTTCCGACCGCAAACCGTTCCTCATCTCGGCGTCTTGCCTGGACGCACCTGGGGGGCCACATGCGAACCCTGCCCCTACCCCCCACGAGTTCTGAGGGGGTGGGGGCAGGGCTCGCATGTGGCCCCCTGCTCACCTCAGCGTCTTGGCTGCACGCGCCACCACCGCTGCAAGGCCTGGGGACCCCGCGGGCGCCTCGCATCTCGGGCGCGGGCCCCCGCGCTGGAGCCGCCGCCCGCGCGGGCGCCCTCCCGCCGCCCGGCGGGCCTCCGAGCGCGTCCCGCGGGCCCTCCTCGCCGCGGGCCGGGGCGCGCCCGGACGCCCGAGAGGATCTCCGAGAGGGCGGAGGGGCGGAGGGGCGCGCGGCGGACCAGGGGAGGGGGGAGGGGAGGGGGAGCGGGAGGGCACGGGAGGAGGGGGGGGGGGAGAAGGGGGGGGGGGAGAGAGACGGGGGAGGGAGAGGGGAGGAGGACAAGCAGAAGGGCGCTCGCGCCACGTCCGGCAGCCTGCCCCTCCCACTCAGCCCTTCCCGGTGCGCTGCTGTGCTTTTCTCTATCTGCGGGGGCGTGTCAGAGCGGACCTGGGACTCCCCCAAAAAATCGACCGCCTTGTGTGCAATCGGAGAAGTGGAGCTGCGTAGATGAGACGAAGAGGAGGAGGAGCAGACAAACACACCGAGCGAGCAAAAGGGAGGAGGAGGAGGAGGAGGAGGAGGAGGAGGATGCTCCCTTTTTCCAGCTCGGGCAGGCCAGGTGGCGAGGCTTCGAGACGCTGCCGACGCAAGAGGCTGCCGCCACGGATCTCCGATCCGTAGGCGGCCACGGACATCAACTGAAATTTCGGACACACCTTGGCAAAGATAGAGTGAAAGCAAGGGGGGGAGGGAGGGAGCTTGAGCGAAACGTCAACGGAAGATCGCAGACGGGCGGCCAGCGACGCTTCCCAAGGAGCAACCCTGTTCGGAGAACGACTTATGCTCCCTTTTTCCAGCTCGGGCAGGCCAGGTGGCGAGGCTTCGAGACGCTGCCGACGCAAGAGGCTGCCGCCACGGATCTCCGATCCGTAGGCGGCCACGGACATCAACTGAAATTTCGGACACACCCAAAATGCTGCAAAATGCACAGCTAGACTGGCAACGCCGAAAATACAACAATTGTTAATCAAGCGTCGGAAGACGTTCGAGCAGCACGCCCTATCAAAACGGAGAACTGATTTGCCCGGGACCTGGCTTTCTCGTCGGCATAGGCTCTGGCGAGGGTGCTGCAGAGCTTGCGAGGATATGCCTCCGCCAATCTAGTGCGGAACCTGCCCGATGCGTCTTTGCCGGACAGTTCTTGATGCCGCTGCCCAGTGAGGACACAGACGGGCCCTGTACATCTGAACTTGGCCAAGGGTGCCAAGTCGAGGAGAAACGCAGCAATCCTGGTGCTCTTCCTCCAGGGCGTCCCGAACCGGCAGTACTCGATCACCTGGGTCGTGACCTGCCGGCGCTGGAGCAGGGACAGCATCGGCGGCAGCTGCCACGCGTAGCTCAGCGCGGGGTTCTCGACGGACCAGGGGACGAAACACTGGCAGCACAGCACGCAGAAGGATATCGTGAGCCGCGCGCACAGGTTGCCCCACTTCACCTTCTGGAAATCGGCGCCCTCGGGATGGAGACTGGGCAGGCCCCAGACGTGCTCCTGGGACCGGAGCCGCGGAGGCCCGTTGGGGCGGTCTCGCGCCCGCGAGAAGGTCTCGCAAGGAAAGCCAGCATGCAGGCCGCAGACGAGCCCCGCCCGTATCCAGCCTCGAATGAGACGGGCGCTCCTGGGGTCGCGCAGGTCGTAGGCGGGGCCGTAAAGGATGTCCCACCGCAATGTGGGGACATTTCCCCGCTCCACGGCGTCGGACAGGTGGCCCGAGCCCGCGAACAGCTCGAGGAACGCGGCGACGGTCGGCGCCCTCAGCGGCCCAAAGACGGCATCCGCCTCCCCCGCAGCGCGTCGGGGAGCTCCTGAGCGGCCGCCGCGGCCGCCCGCTGCACGTCGGGCGGCAGGCGGCGCAAGAGGTCGGCCAGTCGCCCCCCGTGCTCGTAGCGGCGGAGGCTCCGCGCGGACCGCCACCGCCCGCGGCGCTGGATCTCCTCCAGCCGCCGGGCGCCGGTCGCGAAGTCGACGCTCGCCCCCGCGTGCCGGAAGCGGCAGGCGTCGAGCGGCCCGAGGGGCCCCAGGCGCCAGGCAGCCGCGGCCTCGTCCAGGGCCCGGCGCAGGGCGCTGGGCGTCAGATCCAGCAAGGGCCCGACGCCGCGCTCCAGCCCCAGCTGCACCAGGGCGTCCGCGAGCGCCGCCTGCCGGTCGAGGTCGAGGACGATCGCCTGGTCGAACTCCTGGCTCTTGGACGGGGTCCGCATCTCGAACGGGTGGAGCAAGACCGATGTGGGGGTCCACTCGCGAGCTCCGCTGAGGGACCCCGCCACTACGTCGCGGCCCCGTAGCAGGAATGGCTCTCCTGGCCGCAAGTACAACTCCATCATCATGAGAATGGCCAGCGCGTGGGGTCTCAGCCCCTGGCAGATCATCCAGCACGCCAGGAGCGCCACCACGTCGTAGGGCAGGGGCAAGCGGCCCCCTGCTGGGGCAGCGCGGCGCCAGCCTCGCAGACACTGCCGACAGACGGGCATCCGCCCGCCCCCCAGCCTGCCGAGGCGCGGCTCGGCCCACTGCACCGACGCCAAGAGCTTCTCGCCCGCGCTCAGCGAGCCGCCCTCCATGAACATGATCTCCATCAGGCCCGCGGCGGCGATGTCCCACTCCTCCTCGGCGTTCGGGTGGTCCCCGCGGGAGTCGCAGAACCTCTGCAGGGCGGCCAGGTAGAGGGAGTACTGGGCCTGAGTCTTCGCCGACACCGAGGCCCTCCGAAGCAGGCTCATCTGGGCCTGCGGGGCCCGCGCCGCAGCCAGCCTGGCAGCGCGCTCCACCCGCACCCGCGCCGCGGCCGCCCGCAGGCCCCCAGTCTCCAGGGGGGCCAAGGCCGGGCGGGAGGCCGACCCCAAACTGGGCGGCGGCGGCTGGCGGCCCGCGGGGGTCCTCGATCTGTCGGACCTGCCGCGCGCCAGCATCGCGGCCCTCGCCGGCGGCGGTCGCGAGTTCGCGCCGCAGGCCGGCGAGCGGGTCGCTCGGCGCCGGTCGGCCGCGCGAGGGTCCGTCCGCAGGGTTGAGCTCCGACGCGATCCAGCGCGACCGCAGGAGGCTGCCGGCCCCCAGCAGCAGGGCGCCCAGCCGGCGGGTCACCGAGAGCATGCCATCGCAAGACGACCGTCCCTTCGTGGCGGCCAGGGAGGCGGAGATCGAGTCCCCAATCACGAGCAGCCTCGAGCCCAAGTTGGCGACGGACCTCAGGAGGTGGCGCACCCCGTACAAAAGCGCCTCCGCTTCCAGGGCCGGCATAGACGTCGAGGCCCGTTTCCACCTCTGCCTCCCGCGCACCCTCCAGGGGGCCCTCAAGAGGTCCAAGGGGACGTCCTCGAACGACTTCGTGTGCCGGCGGTCGAACTCGCTTTCGGGACGGTGGTGTCGAAACTGGGGCCGCACGAGCTCCATCAGGATCCGCCTGTCGGCCCCCCCTCACCCCCGTGCAGCTGCGCAGCGGCCGCGGCGAAAGCGCGCTCACGGGGAGGCCGCCCTTCCCGGGCCGCCTCCCGAGCCCCAGCACGCTCCGAGTGACGGCAGGCCTCCTTGACCAGGGCCACCGGCGGTCGCCCCCGAACGGCCCCAAGGCCCCACGGCGACGCGTCCACCACGACGACGTCTGGACAGGTACCCGCAGAGGTGTTGACCCAGATGAGCGGGGCGATACGGTCCCAGACGTCGAGCTCCTTTCTGGCAGAGGCCCAGAGGGCCCGAGGCCCCCGGGCTGGGCATCTCCGCGCGGCCTCACAGAACCTGTAGCAGTATTTGAACACGCTGAGCGACTCTCGCCTACACAGGCCGACGAAGCACAGATGGCCCAGGAGGCGCTCCAAGTCCCCTTCCAGAGACCGAGGCCCGTGCCAAAAGACCCCGAATAGCGAGACGAGCCTTCCAGACACGCTCGGGGGTCGGGCGGAAGGTGCGCCGAAGGCAATCGATCTCCCACCCCAGCACGATGGCCCGATCGCAAGAGACAGACTCTTTATGCAGCGGCAGCCCCCGAGACTCGAGGGCCCGGGACACTCCTGCCAAGCGCTCGCGAACAACCGCCTCGCTCGTCGAAATCACCACATAGTTGTCTACGCACTGTGCGTGAGGGGAGGAGGCGAGGGGAGGCGGAGGGGAGCCGTCCGCGAGGCGGGCTGCAGCAGGGGATCCTCCCTCCTCGGCAGCCCGCTCGTGGATCGCCTGGCACCACCAGAGGGCCCAGGACCAGCCCATGGGCAAAGCTCGCATCCGAGGGGTGACCCAGGCCCCCGGGGACACACGGACTCCCTGGACTTGAGAGATGCCCGCCCACGAGGCCCGAATTCTTCGCAGCCCGAAATACTGGCGGAGCCCCTCTGGGAGCTCCATGTGATAGAAAGCGTCTTTTATATCGACCTGGCCAATAAACACGGGCTGACCGAGGGAGTCGTCGCCATGCACCTGGGAGAGAGTGTCGCCAGAGACTAGGCTGACAGGGGCGGGCGGCTCGAAATGCTGATTAGACCGCCGACAGTCGACGACCAGCCGCTGCTTGCCGCCCCCCTTTCTACAAAGAAGCAATCCACCACCTCGGTAGGTCGCTCAAGCGTCAGCTCGGCTACGCCAGCCTCGACCAATCGCTGAATGAATTCGCCGTACAAAGAGGGAGGGTGGAGGCGAGGGTCGCCGTAGGGCCGAAGGGGCCCCGAGTCCTTTAACCTCATTCGTGCCACGTCGATGGGCAAAACTTGCGACTCAGCAAAGCGTGCAACAGTACTTTCCCCGCCGGATCCCCAAAGCCGAGCGAGCGGAGTCGGAACCGACCCAGCCGCCGGGAGGGACACGCGGGAGGCTTCGTAGCCCACAGGGCCTCCCCCTGCGTCGTAGGGGAGGCCGAGGCGCAGCGCCTGGAGGGCTGCCGCCTGCGAAAGATCACCCGGGGGAGGCCCCAGGAAAGAGACAGAAGACTCAACGTGATCGAGCATACGCTGCTGCCCGAGGCTCAGATCAGCAGGTACCGGTACCCCTTCACGGCGGCCGTATATCGTGTTGAGACCTTCTAAGCACCGAAGAACGTCGGCGTGACGACGCTGCCGACGGCCGACTCTCTGTCGGCAAACTCGCGAGAGCCCAGGTGCTGGTGGCTCCGACGAGTTGAGCAGCTCCGTGGGGAAAGGTAGCAGATCCCTCCCCACGTTCCTGTCAAAATTCCCCGGCGGCGCAACGGCGTGCCGAGCATCCCCAGTCATGTCGGGATCCCCCCCACCAGACCTGAGGGACGTCTGGGGGGGGCGGTCGGGCATCACCCCTGGTCCTTCCCCTGGCCCTGCCTCCGCTTGCCCAGCGACTCCCGAGCCTCGCGCGCCTTCAGGAGGCTCTTGGCCAGCGAGGCGTCGCGCTCCAGCTCCTGCTTGGCGCTCTCGAGCAGCGCGGGCGACACCATGAGCCTCGACTCGGCTCGGGCCGTCGCCCCGAAGGCGGCCTGCTCGTCGGCGGTGAGCCTCCCCGCGGAGGAGCCCGCTGTCCTCTCGCGCAACTTGTCGCTGTAGCAGTACTCGATCGTCTGGAGCCGGCGGAACATCATCTCCACCGACAGGATGTTGGACGCGTCCACCTGATCGTGCTGGAGCAACGCCTTCAGGTAGCTGATCACACTGGCGTACTCCTCCATGCCCCACTGGGAGTCCTGGAGGCCGCACAGCTTCTTGAAGTGCTCGAAGTGGGACTCGAGAGAGCGGCCCTCGCCCGCGAGGTGCTCGAGGCACCACATGGTCGTCCTCGGCGCGATGAAATCGGGGAGGTGCTCCTGGCGGCAGCTCTCTACGAGGTTCTCGAGCGTCCGGAAGGGCCTGCCAGCGCGATCGAGGCGGACCGGCAGCAGGCGACAGTCGGGCGCCACCGCCCGGTCGGCGAAGTCCGACTCGTCACCGATGGCCACCCACTCGACGAAGAGAGACGACCCGTCTGCGAGCAGGACGACTCCGCGGGCGGGAGTGCCCGCCCCAGCGAAGCCCGCTGGAGGGATGATCACATCGCCGTAGTGGTACCCCCTCCACTCCTGGGCGACGCGCCAGTTCCCCACAGGGGCGGGGGCGGCGTCGCCAGCGCCTCCCGCCAGCACCAGGGGTCGGGCCCCCCCGACCACGGCCGCCGCGAGCGCTGCTCCCGCGGGCGCCGGCGCTCCGCCCGCCTCCCCGCCGCCCGCGGCCGGCGCAGCCCCCGCGGCCGCACCTCCTCGGCGCATCACTCCGCCCGGCAGGGGCGCGGGTGCCGGGGCGACGGGCGCCGCGGCGGGCGGCGGGCCCCCCGCTGGCACGACAACCCAACCCCCGCCCGGCGGCCCGGCGGCGGGGGCCGCCGCGGCAGGGGCGGGCCCGACGGCGGCAGCCGGCGCCCCCGGCGCAGCCCAGGGCCACGCCTCGAAGACGGGCGCCGGCACGGCCACGCCCGGGTGGCGCCGAGCAAAGCAGCGCCGGGCCTCGGCCTGGGCATCGGGGAGCCAGGCCGCCACCTCCGCCGCGGTCGGGGGGCTCGCGAAGCGGTAGGCCCGCACGACGCCCGGCGGCCTGGGGGCGAGGGCGGGCGCCCACCGCACCGCGCTGATGTCGGGCGACGTCACGTCCACTACCTCGCACTGCACCTGGTGGTCCGGCGAGACCAGGATCGCGTCACTCGGACAGGACACCACCCGACCCAAGTTCCAGCGCTGGTGCCACAGGGGTGCCCCCGGCACCGCATACAGGAGGTACGCCACCTGGTCCACTCCTTCCAGCGCGGGCACGGCGTCGGCGGCAGCAGCAGCCATCGCTCCACCTCCCGACGTCGCCGAGCGCGATGCCGATCACGAGCGACGCCACTGTCGTCCCCCAGGCCGCCGCCACCGTCGGGGCTGCGGGCGCCGTGGAGGCGCGCCCCCGCTCTTGCTGCGGGCACTGGGGAGCCGGCGCCCCTGGGCAGGCCGGGCAGGGCGGGACCGCGGGACAGGCGCAGTGGCAGTCCGGGCACTCCAACGCCGGGCACGGCGGCGGCGGCGGTGCCCGACTCAACCAGGAGGCCACGCCATGCGACAGCTGGGTGAGGGCTCCGACCGCCCACGGGGGCACCATGCCCCGTGGGGAAAAAGCTTGAGCGAAACGTCAACGGAAGATCGCAGACGGGCGGCCAGCGACGCTTCCCAAGGAGCAACCCTGTTCGGAGAACGACTTAGGAGGAGGAGGAAGAGAACGAGGTGGAGGAGGAGGAGGAGGAGGAGGAGGAGGAAGAGGAGGAGGAGGAGGAGGAGGAGGAGGAGGAGGAGGAATAGAAGGAGGAGGTGGATGAGCAGGAGAAAAAAAGAGGTGGATGAGCAGGAGGAGGAGGAGGAAAAGGAGGAGGAGGAGGAGGAGGAGGAAGGAGGACGAGGACCAACAGCAGCAGCGGGAACTGGAGTGAGAGGAGCGGGCACTGAGCAGGAGGATCAGGGGAAGGCAGAGGGGGGGACAGGAGGGGGCCGACAACGATGAGGAAGGACTCGGGTCCAGAAACGTGGCCCGCGCTGGGGCGGGAGCGCCTTTCTGAGCGACAGGAGCAAAACGCCGATACAAAAGCGAGGCCAACGCTGCAGCGACAGCACCATCTTGAGACGCCGCAAACCTTCTCGTTGAAAAACAACATCGCAAACAAAACGACATATGAAATTATGTATACAGACAATGCGCGGAGAGAGCCGGCTACCTTCCGGACGGAGGGGGGGAGGCAAGCTAGGTGCGCTCGCGTCATATCTGACGTCCTACCCCTCCCTACCATCCCTTACCATGGCGTAGATCTCCTCTCCACTCGCACATTCGGATGTCGTAGCATGGCATCGCATGACATGGCATAGCACGATGTTGAAGATCAACGCGTAGCATGACATAGCATGACGTGGCGCCGCCCCATAGTGTGGGGGGGCTTCTGCAGCCCAACAAATCAACGAATCGACACCGACTGTGGAATCACTTCCAATGGTTCTTTCGGGAGGCCATTTTCTAAACTTTCGGGCCTGTTTGGAAGGACCGAAAACCATGCCGTGGCATGGCACTGGAAATAATGACGCCACCGCTGCAGCGGGAGCACGATTCGCAAGCGCTGCAGCGGGAGCACGATTCGGAACGAGCGGAAGCGCGGAAATGAGGCCAGCGCTGCAGCGGGAGCACGATTCGGATCGAGCGGAAGCCCGAAACTGAGGCCAGCGCTTCAGCGGGGAAAAACATAAAAAACAACGAACACCTAATTCCCGGGAATCCTGTGTGTGTGTCGAAAACAATACGCGGAGGGGGGCTGGATATCTTCTGGGCGTCATCAGGGGAGAGAGGAATAGTTTCCATATTGTGAAACTGGGAAAGGGACGGGACAAGAGGAAGAGGGGGGGGGAAGACCAGAGGGCGGATCGGGTCAGAGAGGAGGGTGGAAAGGGGGGATGGAGGAGCCGAGAAGGGCGAGGAAAGGGGGAGAGAAGGAAAAGAGGGGGAAGGAGCACGGGGGAGGGATATGAGGGCGACGAAGTGACGCGGAAAAGCGGAAGAGGGAGGGGAGAATCAAAGTCCAAGCGCTGCGTCTTGCAGTGAACGGTGCACAAAAGAGAACGCTCCCTGGCCTATTCGCGACTGTGTGCGTCCACATATCGGGCGCAACTTCCAGCACCTCAGGTCAACAATTCCCCACTCATCGCATGGAGGGTCTCTGACACACTGGCACGTCGAATTGGAAACTGTGGGCTTGATGCTTCTTGCACGTGCCACCTGTTACCCCCCGATGCCCCTGCCACTGCTCCTCCCTGCCCCTATATTCCCCCTCGTCCTCATCTCTCCCTGCCACCCTCGCTCACTCTTGCGCCGCGCTCCCTCCCCTTCCTTCATCCTGTCCATCCTTCCTCCTCTTGCGAGCCAAACGGTGGCGGGGAAGCGGGCGAGGCCCGAGAAAGCCTCCTCATGCCGTTGCGAGCCAAGTCGCCACGTGTCCTCCTCCGCCTCCCTGTTCCCTCCCTCCCCCGCCTCCTCCTCCTCCTCCTCCTCCTCCTCCTCCTCCTCCTCCTCCGCCTGCTCCTCCTCCTCCTCCTCCTCCTCCTCCTCCTCCTCCTCCTCCTCCTCCTCCTCCTCCTCCCGCCGCTGATCCTTACCTTCGTCCTCCTCACCACTGGCCACCCCGATGCGAATGGTCACCCCAACGCCCCGCTCCTGCCGCGGCCCGGACAGCTCCCGCAGGAGGCCCGAGCGCTCCAGAGAGAGGCCGAGGCGGAAGTCCGAGCACCTGGCGCGGCAGCGCCGAAGGCAGGAGCGTCTCCAATGTGCTCCGGGGGCGTCCGAAGCCTGCAGCATAAGAGGAGATTTGATTTGACACGTCGCATCGCAAGGGTTAAGACCAGCACGACGGAGAGGAAATCGCCAACAGCCCAAACCCAAGAGGGAGGGCGCCAGCGACCAACTCCCCACCGCACCAGTCGAAGCCGAACCACTGCCGTCCACAGCACGCGTAGAGTCAGCTAGAGGCGCGAGCTCGTCAAGCAGCACATAATCGGGAGGTGTGGGGGGGGGGGGCCGAGAGCGTCCGGGGGGAAGGCCCACGGAGGGAAATCAGGGGGGCGCCCGTGCAGGTTGGGAGGAGCACTATAGGGACGGTGCCAGAAGGCTCCTCGGCGACAGTCGTGGGAAGATGGGGTGGGGGCCCACGCGCACGCCGAGAGAAGGAGGGTGACAACTCCGTCGGC